GCTTCTATATTCAAAAGATATAAAGAATTTTATAATTGCTTATTTATTTTCTGGATTTTTGTACCTCAATAAATTCACAAATTTTCTGATTTTTCTACAGAAAGTACAGGAAATGCTTGTCATGTGTCAAGTATAATAACTATACATTTCTTTCATCTACTTATTTAAATACATTTCTTATCAAGCATAACCATGCCTATATTTGGATTCCTTCCTCTTAAAAGTTTGCAAACAAGATGTGATCTTGTCAATGTTTATAGCTCCCATTCCCGTTTAAGTTTAAAAGTTGCTGCACTCAATATCTGTGTCTTTATTACATTTTCAACTTATTTTTTTCGAATTGTGAAGGGGCAATGAAAACAAAATAAAATGAATGTCTTGGACTCAGGTTGAAAGTGTCCCCTAGCATTTTAACTGCTTTCACCCAGAGACAGATTCTTTTCCCCTCTCATCTGATCACAGACTTCCACTGGATAAGCAATCAATTACCACTTGTTTCAGGAGTCTTCACTATTGGACCATTGGCGTGTCAGCGTCAGCGTTGAAAGTCTGAAATTTATCCCCTGCCTTCACTGCCTACATTCACATGGCACACAGAGCCAACACTTGCCTGCTTTGTATCTCTACCCAGCATACTGGGGTTGCATGAGTCTACACCTAGGTCATACTACACCTGGTCTTAGATTGGCCAGAGACTGTGTCTGACACCAGCCCCAGTTCTTGGTAGCCTGAGTCTCCATGGTGAATTCCAATCCCACACACGTCACCATCTGGTACATCTGGCCGTGGCAGTGTCTATTCAGCACCAGATACACTGGCCCTACTACTGACACAGTGGAGAATGCACCCTACATTTTGCCAGAGTCCTTAGCAAAGTCACTGACTGTCAGAGTAGGCCAGAGAACTGCCAGAGAAACAAAGAAAGGTAAATCTCATGGACATCTGTGAGGCAACACTCAACACTCTATATCCTCACTGAGCATTCTGGAGTCTCTCCAAGTCAGACCAAGAAGAACCCGCATCTCCTCTGGGTGATGTGTGGTGATATCAACCTCCACCTGGAATCCCAAGCTGGTTCTACAGGCTCAAGAATATACATCATGTATTCAGCATTGGCCCCAAAAGAGCAAAAATCCATGCTAGAACCCTCAGAATACCATGCTTGAAGTCTTTCCAGGGCTGGAATGAAGTATTTCAAGTGCTGAAAAGCAAATAACATCTGGCAGAATTAAACATGTTCACCAAAGCTATCCCAAATATTGCAGGAGAACAGAGTTTTTCCTATGAAATAGACCAGAGAAAAAGAAATGTGAGTGGTTACCTTGCACTAAAGATATTCCATAAAAATATTCTTGAATGACTATTCAAGAATATCATCACATCCTGGTACTGGAAAACAAAGCAAAACAAAA